GGGAGCCACTGAAGAGGGGTAGAGATTTGTGTTTCTGAAAACCCACACTCTGGGAAGGGGCCCTAGGTAGTGAATATTCAATAGATGTTTGTTGAGGTGTGGAGGGACACGCGCTGACATGGAGAAGGGCAGTCAGTGTCTGGTGGCTCTAACTCAGTTCCCTGCTTTTCATTTGAACCTTCTAGACCCACTGGCCTCGGATAAGTGAAAAAGTTCTATCGTCCCTCTGTTAAAGATTTCTGGTCTACCAAGGAACAGGAGGAAATTTCCACAGTAGGAATGGCCTCTCACAATGCGTGCGCCCAGGGCTCTTTAGGAAGTTCTACCTTTTTGTAAAAATGAGTTAAAGGGGAGCACCTTTAACTGGGAGGCCAGAGAGGCCACCCCTTCCGATTGCACAGAAGCTGCCCACTCATAGGAAGCTCCACGCACCGCTGCACCGAGCCTTCCATCTTCTTCAGTGTGGTCAGTCTTGGACAGCTGGCCAATCCCAGGCTGCGGAGGGTAGGAGTGACGAGAGAGTGGGGCTCTGGACCAAGCACACAGCTCCTGAGTCCCAGTGGGCTGCAGCAGGTTTGGCAGTTTGAGTCTGTTTCCCAGACAGGTTAAGACACTCTCCAAATCTCCAAATTTCCTTGGCAATTCCAAACAAAGAGCTGATGCCCAGGTAGCCTGGGATGCAAGGCCAGAACTTCCACAAATTTAAAAAGGACCATGAGGTTGCATTAGGGCTACTTGGCCTGGTCTCAGGGTACACAAAACCTCCCCTGAGAGCATGGCATCTCACCTGAGACCTCAGGGATACAAAGACGTAGGCTAGGCAAAGAACAGGTGTAGTAGCCTCTGGGGAGGAAGAAATGGGAGAAACTGTGAGCATGCACCAGGTTCCTGTGGCGTTGGAGTAGCTGGCAATCGCAATAACAGTGGATTCTTTCTTCCTACTCCTCCAGACACTGTTGGCCAGGGCTCTTTATGACAACCATCCTGACTGCTCCGATGAGCTGGCCTTCTCCAGAGGAGACATCCTGACCATTTTGGAGCAAAATGTGCCGGAAAGCGAGGGCTGGTGGAAGTGTCGGCTGCATGGGAGGCAGGGCCTGGCCCCTGCCAACCGCCTCCAAATCCTCCCGGAGGCCCCTGAGGATAGATCCTGTCCCCCATTCCCAGGAGGCTTGGAAAAAACCATCACTAACTCAGAGGAGACCTACCAAGTGCCCACAGTGCTGCCCACTCCACCCCCAGGCCCTGTGTATGAGCCGATGAAGAGCTGGGTGGAGGAGCCTTTGCCACCTGCTGCCCAAGTCTACGAGTTCCCTGACCCACCTCCCACCGCCAGAATCGTCTGTGAAAAGACTTTAAGCTTTCCAAAACAGGTAAGACTGTTTCCAAATAAGAGAGATGGGTCAGGGGGTGTGGGCTTCAGAGCCACTCAAGTCTCCACTGTCTGTTCATCCAAGTGTGCCAAAGGGAAACCAGGTCATTGGTGGTCGTGACTGAGGAGTTGTGTGCTTGGTCCAGGACCCCACCCTCTTGTCACTCATACACTCCGCAGCCTGGGATTAGCCAGCTGCCCAAGACTGACCACACTGCAGAAGACGGAAGGCTTAGTGCAGCAGTGCATGGAAGCGCTGTGGGTATTCATGGCCTGGGGACATCAGGGCGTCACTGGGATCTCTAGTGGAAATGATAGGCCTGGATTTCTGTCACATCCAAGTCAAGTGACCTACCACATTTAAAACGTGTATTCCCTTTCACCCGGAAATATTGCTTCTAGAATTGCTACAGAAGCACACGGGAAGGCAAATACTGGGCAAATACTGGTAGGAATGAGAAGGCCCTGGCCTTCCAGAATCATTGGAATTAGGGGAAAAAAAAAATCCTAAATGTTAGTGTATGGGAGGATTAGTGAGTGCATTGCCACAGCAAATTACCATACGGTTGTTAAAAAAGAAAAAAAGATGAGTCATTTCTATAAAGTGTCATTAAATAAGTAAATAATATTATTAATAAGTAAATAATATGATCAAAGACCAGACAAATGATGCCTCAAAGAAAGTATCCTGTGTCCCCGTACATGTCTAAGATCTGTGCCCCATCTCTGCCCACACGTAGGAAAGACCCAGAAACACACAAGGAGGGCTGCCCTCAAGAGGTGGAATTGGCTAAGGAGAAAGTGAAGGAACTTTTACTTCTTTCCCACCTGTGTCCCCAGCACCTGGCACCAAGCCTCGCATGCAGTGTGTCCTCCATCAGTGTTTGATGAGCAAACAGATTAGGGGGTTAATTTGCATGTTCTATGGAACATGTATGACATCTGTAGCTTTTATAATATCAGCTCTTTAAAAGCAGAGGAAAAGGAGCACTTAGTAAAAGCCGAAAGAAAACTTTATTATAAAATAAAGAAAGGAATGTGAAGCCCAGCCTGGGTGGAGTGGAGGAGCAGAACGAATTTGCAGCATCCAATGGCCTTGGACACTTCCTGCCTGCCATGATGCTTGGCTTTCAGCTCAGATGACACATCCCACCTGACCTCAGCTCTGGCAGGGGTCTTGGCAAGGTCTGTGTCCTGGAAAAGGCCACTTTCCTGACCTGTGTGCCCAGGGGACCCCAGGAAGGTGCTGCGCTCCTCTTGGGCTTCCTCCGTATCAGCCTTCGATGCTGCCTGCAAATGAAAAGGGGCTGGTGCCTTCAAAGGTTTTGAATACTTCAGATTCTCTAACTTCCTGGGCTGCAAGGCGTAGAACCAGACAGTTGTTACTCAGAACAGCTGCCACACACAGGTGCTGACTCCAGGCGCCAGGAGCAAGCTGGCTGGGCCTTCATGGGGTGAGCACTACCTTGCTTTTCTGAAACAACTGGCTGTGTCTAGGCCTGGCCTCTCAGCAGCTGTCTAAACAGCTGAGACAGAGTGGGGCCTTGATGGTGTTTCTTCTAAGGACAAGTGACACTGGGTGATATTGATTTGAAATTCTTTCCAAAACCAATGAAGAAAAAAAAAATCAGGGGTCATTTCCCCCTCTCCCTAAAAGGAAAACAGATGCAAACCCACCTTCGGCCAAGCACCCTCTGCACCCAGCACAGTGCCTGGTGCTCCTCTACCAGGTGCTCCGGGAAACTTTTGCCAACTGAATGAAGTGACCCTACCCAATAGAATGCCTCAGAAATGTGACTCACTGCCACCTTGAAATCACATTCACGTAAAGGAAAAGACAAGTTACAATTGAATTTTAATTCAGAGGGATGGTCAGGGCTGTAAGAGAGTTCCTTCCATGAATCTTGCCAACCATTTCCATAAAGCATGTCTCCATGCCCTTGTGGCAAGGAGAAGCCGCAGCTACCCAGGGGAATTCAGGGCCTTTTTGCCACTGAGCAGGACTCAGCAGGTGGCCACAGAGAACCACTGGGGAATTTTCCTGCTATTTTTTTTTTTCCTTCTGTAGCTCCTTCCCTGTCTGTCCTGGCTACATTCTGGCCCTTTTGTGTGTTCTCTGTCACCTAGTGGTCTGGCCCTCTGGCTCCCTTGGCTTCCTGTGCAGCCTGTCACTCAAGGACACTCAGAACATGACAGACCCCCTGTGTTTCTCTGTCCTCCTCTGGGTCAGGAGAGGTCGGAGGAGCATTTCCAAGGTCAGCTCTCCAGATGTACCGTGTGGTGATTCCAACTAACGTCACTTCCCCTCGGCTCCGCTTTTCTGCTCTGAAAAGGGTGGAACTAGCTAATCAGTTGAGAATGTTCCAGTCCACAGGAAAGGCATGCATCTCTCCCCTGCTCACATTACTGAGCCTTGAACCCTAAGTCTGAGGCTGCCCAGGAAATACACGTGGTTCCAAGTGGAAGCAGACGTTGGTAGAACCAGGCACTGGCTTCAAGCCATCTCCAGCGGAGAGATCACAGGCTTGGGCCACCACTTAGGCAAGTCATTTCATGGACTCAATTTGTACTTCTGTTGACCATCTCTAGATTCAGAGTGGCCCAAGGTTAAAATCCAAGGTGGTGGAAATTTGTCCCTATCCTCAAATTGTCCTAAGAGATGCATCTACACATCAGAATCAGACATCCCCATAACTGGAAGAGATTTTTGAGGACCTTTAGATTAGATCAACTCTCCATTTTACAGATGCTCCTGCACCTGGGAACACAGAGCTGGCACTAAAGCTTCTTAGCTCTCTCCATGTTCTTCTGACTGCAGTGCCCCAAGGGCAGAGCCCTGTCCTCACCATTCTCACCATCCTGTGATCTCCTTTCACCCGGCTGTGGCTGGAGCTACTCTTTCCATTTACCTCTTTGTTAAAACTTCACCTTCAGGTCCTAAGGACGTAACTCAGTCACTAGGATCAACCAAGAAATGGAACAGAACCAGCACCCAGAAGCCCTGAGCCTTCTCCCTGCCACTTCCCCCAGGGTAACCACCATCGTGAGCTTTGCTTTACTTTTTGTTCCAACTTCCTTAATATAATATATAAGCCTGACTTAAAAAAAAAAAAAAGAAGAAGATATTTGATTTTGGTTGAAATTCCCAAAAGAGGGGACTCTTTGGTGTTTCAGCAAAGGGCCAGATTTCCTCATGAAATTGCAC